AAAAATCCACGTTTCTTGGATCGTTGAAAAAATATTCTTTAAAAAATCCACGTTTCTTGGATCGTTGAAAAAATATTCTTTAAAAAATCCACGTTTCTTGGATCGTTGAAAAAATATTCTTTAAAAATCCACGTTTCTTGGATCGTTGAAAAAATATTCTTTAAAAAATCCACGTTTCTTGGATCGTTTGAAAAAATATTCTTTAAAAAATCCACGTTTCTTGGATCGTTGAAAAATATTCTTTAAAAAATCCACGTTTCTTGGATCGTTGAAAAAATATTCTTTAAAAAATCCACGTTTCTTGGATCGTTGAAAAAATATTCTTTAAAAAATCCACGTTTCTTGGATCGTTGAAAAATATTCTTTAAAAAATCCACGTTTCTTGGATCGTTGAAAAATATTCTTTAAAAAATCCACGTTTCTTGGATCGTTGAAAAATATTCTTTAAAAAATCCACGTTTCTTGGATCGTTGAAAAAATATTATTTAAAAAATCCACGTTTCTTGGATAGTTGAAAAAATATTCTTTAAAAAATCCACGTTTCTTGGATCGTTGAAAAAATATTCTTTAAAAAATCCACGTTTCTTGGATCGTTGAAAAAATATTCTTTAAAAAATCCACGTTTCTTGGATCATTGAAAAAATATTCTTTAAAAAATCCACGTTTCTTGAATCGTTGAAAAAATATTCTTTAAAAAATCCACGTTTCTTGGATCGTTGAAAAAATATTCTTTAAAAAATCCACGTTTCTTGGATCGTTGAAAAAATATTCTTTAAAAAATCCACGTTTCTTGGATCGTTGAAAAAATATTCTTTAAAAAATCCACGTTTCTTGGATCGTTGAAAAAATATTCTTTAAAAAATCCACGTTTCTTGGATTCTTGAAAAAGGATTTTTTAAAAATATAGCGTTTTTTTTTTAAATTCAAGTTTCTTGGATAGTTGAAAAAATAATTTTTAAATAAATTCACGTTTTTTGGATGCTTGAAAAGATTATTTTTAAAAATCCGCGTTTCTTGGATACTTGAAAAATGTTTTATTTTAAAAACCTATTTTCCTTGGATGGCTGAAAAGCATATTTAAAAAAAAAACAAATTTCTTATATGATTGAAAAAATATTCTTTAAAACAATTCACGTTTCCTGGGTCCATGAAAAAATATTTCTGATAAAAAAATCCACGTGGTTATATCCTTGAAAAAATATTTTTGATAAAAAATCCACATTTCTTGGATGCTTGAAAAAATATTTTTGATAAAAATTTCACGAAGTATTCTTAAGAAAATCAACGTTTCTTTGATCCTTGAAGAATTATTTTTTTTTTTAAATCTAAGTCTTTGGATCTGTAAAAAAATATTTCTTTTTGTCTCTTGAATGTTTGAAAAAATACCTTTTAAAAAATGCATGGCTCTTGGATCCTTGAAAAAATAACTTTTAAAAAATGCATGTCTTTTGGATCCTTCAAAAAATAATTTTTAAATATCCATGTTTCTTGAATACTTGATTTTTTTAAATCCACGTTTTTTTGGATCCTTGGAAAAAATATTTTTTAAATTTTTTTAAATCCACGTTTTTTTGGATCCTCGAAAAAAATATTTTTAAAATTTTTTAAATCCACGTTTTTTTGGATCCTTGAAAAAATATTTTTTAAATATCCACGTTTCTTGAATATTTGATTTTTTTTTTTAAATCCACGTTTTTTTGGATCCTTGGAAAATTTTTTTTTAAATCCACGTTTTTTTGGATCCTTGGAAAAAATTGTTTTTAAATCCACGTTTTTTTGGATCCTTGAAAAAAATATTTTTTAAATTTTTTTAAATCCACTTTTTTTGGATCCTTGAAAAAAATATTTTTTAAATATTCACGTTTCTTGAATATTTGATTTTTTTTAAATCCACGTTTTTTTTTTGGATCCTTTAAAAAATATTTTTTAAATATCCGCGTTTCTTGAATATTTGCATTTTTTTAAATCCACGTTTTTTTGGATCCTTAAAACAATATTTTTTAAATATCCACGTTTCTCAAATATTTGATTTTTTTTAAATCCACGTTTTTTTTTTTTTTAAATCACGTTCTTGATTGCTTGAAAAAATATTTTTTTTTAAATCCACGTTACTTGAATTCTAAAATAAATATTTTGTTTTTAAATTTACGTTTCTTGAATGCTTATTTATTTATTTTTAAATCCAGGTGTCTCGGATGCTTGAAAATTATTTTTTAAGAAATCCAAGTTTCTTGGATCCTTGAAAAAATATTATTAAAAAAACACGTTTTTTTGGACCCTGAGAAAACTATTTTTCAAATAATCCGAGTTTCCTGAATTTTCTTTAAAAAATCCACGTTTCTTGCATCCCTGAAAAAATATTTTTTAAAAGTTCCACGTTTCTTGGATCCTTGCATTTTTTTCAAATCTACGTTTTTTGGATTCTTAAAATAATATTCTTTAAAAAAATCCACATTTTTGGATTCTTGAAAAAAAAAAAATAAAAAAATATATAAAATAAAAAAATATTAAAAATATAAATAAAATATTTTTAACTCAAGCCTAGGGCTAGAAGACGGACTACGGATACTATTTATTCCCTAAGTGTACGGAAAGTACTACGAGTTTCTAAAAGTTTAATCTATTTTATAGGTCTAACGGGTAAAGGTAGAATTCTGACATATGGCATTAAGATCGCTGTAGGATAGATTCAGCTTTGTCCGTATGGCTAAAAATGTGGTAAGGAGGTTTCCTAGAGCCAGGAGACGTACATAGGATACTATTTATTCCGAAGGTGTACTAAAAGTACTAAAATTAAATCCATTGTTTTAATCAAACGTATAGAGGTAGAATTCTGAATTTTGGGATGAAGGTAGCTGATCGGATGTAGGATAGATATACTAAAGTTTTTTTTGGAAATTCGAACGAAGAAATTTCTAAAAGCCCTCTATTTGGTGCTATTTGGTATTATGAGAGCGGATAGAGCTGAAGTATAGAATTGGAGGTGCACATCTGATCTTAATGTGGGGAACTAGTGTAGATATAAGGAGGTGGTTTTTGAAATATGTACTAAGCGTAAGGACTGTACTAAGTGTTACTAAACTTGGTACAATTTGAATTTGGTTAAAGAGATGGAGCTGGATATTGGGGGTCAAAATTAGTGTTCATGGTCTAGATTTGAAGGCGGTTTTGGACAAATGTACCAAAAAGTAAGAAAAGCATTAGATGGTACCAATTTTTTTTTGGATGAGGAAGGGGTAGTGTCGAAAATCTCAAATTAAGTTGTGGAACTAGGGTTGGTTTAAGAAGGTGTTTTTTTTGAAATATATACTAAATTTAAGGACTATTAAGGAATGATACTTATTTTGGTACAAATTAGAATTTGGTGAATGGATGGAGCTGGAAATTTAAAATTTTGATATTGGTTAGTGTGCTGGTTTCAAATTTGATGGTGATTTTAGAAATATATACTGAAAAGTACGAAAAGTACTACATTTGTTATATGAGGAATGGATGTCGCTGGAAATCTGAAATTATGTTTGGGACCAAGGGTTGATAAAATGAGGTGGTTTTTAAAAAATGTGTCCTAAGTGTAATAATTGCACCAAATAGTACTAAAATTGGTACAATTTGGATTTGTGTGAACGGATGGAGATAGAAACTTTAAATGTTGATATTGGGCTCACTGTTAGTGTGTAGGGTTGAGATTTAAAATGTGGTTTTCGAAATATGTACTAAAATGATTGAAAAGAATTAAATTGTACTAAATATGACACACGAGAAAGGGATAGTGCTGAAAAAAAAAAAATGAATTTGGGTGAACGAATGGAGCTGGAAAGTTGAAACGTTAGTGTGTAGGGTTGAGATTTGAGTTTGATTTTTTAAATATGTAGCAAAAAGTACGAAATGTGCTGAATTGTACTAAGGCAGGGATAGAGCGGGAAATCTGAAATTAAGGGTTGATCTACCTACATAGATTTTAATGTGTACTAAGTGTAAGAACTGTACTAAATGATACTTATTTTTGTAGAATTTGCATTCGGCTGAACGGGTAAAGCTGGATATTTGGAATGTTGATATTGTGGTCTCTTATGTGTGTAGGTTTGAGATTTAAAATGTGGGTTTGGAAATATGTACTAATATGATTGAAAAGTACTAAATGGTACTAAAAATGGCTTATGAGTAAAAATGGGAAAAATAGGGATTTCGGTGAATGGATAAAAAATAAAATGTTGATTGTAAGGTCACTCTTAGTGCGTGCGGTTGAGATTTGAAGGAGGTTTTGGAAAAATGTACTAAAAAGATCGAAAAGTACTAAACGGTACTAAATGTTTTATATGAGGAAAGGATAGGAGCTGGAAATCCAAAATTAATTTGGGAAATTAGGGTTGATCTGCGGAGGTATTTTGTTAATGTGTACTTAGTGTAAGAACTGTACTAAATGGTACTTAATTTTAGTACAATTCCGATTTGGGTGAACGTATGGAGCTGAAAATGGGATATGTTGATATTAGGGTCTCTTTTTGTGAGGTGTACCAAAATGTTCGAAAAGTATCGAGTGATACCAACTTTGTTATATGAGGACGGGATAGAACTGGAAATCCGAAATTTGGTTTTAGGGTCACTTTTTTTAGGTGAGGTTGAATAATGGATGTGGTATAAAGAGTCTCAAAAAGTACAAAATGGTATTTTGGTAATTTGCTATTAGGGTCACTTTTTGTGAGGTTATTGACAATGTAGACTTCCGAACTACCTGTAGAGTTCTCTTCTATTTTTAGCTCCACTTTAATATTCTACTTAAGGTTTTGTTCTATAAAACAGCCATTGCTTGACGATTCTACTACCCAAAGAAAAAAATCTACATCACAAGCAACATTTTTTTTATCACATTTACTATTTCTCCCTCACCCCTCTCATCACATTTTTATTCCTCCCCCCATTATTTTCTGTTTTTTTTTTCATATTATTTTTTTTCTCTTACAATCAAACCACAAAACCTATATAAATCACTGAATTTCCAGGAACGAGCCGTCCAAGTTTTTCTACGCTATGCATCACGCTGGGGCCGGGAAGCGATAAGGGGTTTAGTGGATGTCACCCCGCTGGAGCCGGGACGTCATTGCGGACAATTCCAGTGCCCGTGCCAATACATCAAAGATCATTTGCAGTGCAAGCCGAGAGGCAAGTTGAAATTTTTGGATTGTGTTTATTGGGTGTTGGCCTCAGAACGTTATGAATAAGTGGAAAGTTGAAAGAGAAGGCAGGAGGGAAGAAAGAAGGAAGAAAATGAGGGATAATCACCAGCAAGAGAGGGGGACTTTATGTGTGTGTATGTAGCATTGTCACCAACATCATAATGACACATTTACATATTTTTGTTTTTCATTTTTCTTAAGAAAATGATTTTCACGCAACAACAACAACACTCACCGTTAATTTGCATATTTTAATGTTTTTGTAATACTGGTTATAACGAAGAGGTGCGGAGAAAACCTATGAGAAGACCCTTTGGAAGTCTTCTTCTAAGAGAAGAAACTTTGGTCTTCTAAGAGAAGAAAATTTGGTCTTCTATGAGAAGACCCTCTCTCTGGTCTTCTATAAGAAGACCCTCTCTCTGGTCTTCTATGAGAAGACCGTCTGGTCTTCTATGAGAAGACCGTCTGGTCTTCTATGAGAAGACCCTTTGGTCTTCTATGAGAAGAATACCCTCTGGTCTTCTGTGAGAAGAAGACCCTCTGGTCTTCTATGAGAAGAGGACCCTCTGGTCTTCTGTGAGAAGAAGACCCTCTGGTCTTCTATGAGAAAAAGACCTTCTGGTCTTCTGTGAGAAGACCCCTTGGACTTCTATGAAAAAACCCTTTGATCTTTTGTGAGAAGACCCTTTGGTCTTCTCTGAGAACATCTTTAGTCTTCTATGGGAAGACCCTTTGACCTTCTTGGTATGAGAAAACTCTTTGGTCTTCTGTTAGAAGACCCTCTGGTCTTCCATGAGAAGATACTTTGGTCTTCTATGAGAAGACCCTTCAGTATTCTATGAGAAGACCCTTCAGTATTCTATGAGAAGACCCTCCGGTCTTCTATGAGAAGACCCTCCGGTCTTCTATGAGAAGACCCTTCTGTCTTCTATGAGAAGACCCTTTGGTCTTCTATGAGAAGACTCTTTGGTCTTCTATGAGAAGACCCTTTGGTCTTCTATTAGAAGACCCCTTGGTCCTCTGTGAGAAGACCCTTCGGTCTTCTATGAGAAGACCCTTCGGTCTTCTATGAGAAGACCCTTTGGTCTTCTATGAGAAGACCCTCTGGTTTTCTATGAGAAGACCCTCTGGTCTTCTATGAGAAGACCCTCTGGTCTTCTATGAGAAGACCCTCTGGTCTTCCATGAGAAGATCCTTTGGTCTTCTATGAGAAGACCCTTCAGTATTCTATGAGAAGACCCTCCGGTCTTCTATGAGAAGGTCCTCTGGTCTTCTATGAGAAGACCCTGTGGTCTTCTATGAGAAGACCCTCTGGTCTTCTATGAGAAGACCCTCTGGTCTTCTATGAGAAGACCCTCTGGTCTTCCATGAGAAGATCCTTTGGTCTTCTATGAGAAGACCCTTCGGTCTTCTATGAGAAGACCCTCCGGTCTTCTATGAGAAGGTCCTCTGGTCTTCTGTGAGAAGACCCTCTGGTCTTCTGTGAGAAGACCCTTTGGTCTTCTATGAGAAGACCCTCTGGTCTTCCATGAGAAGATCCTTTGGTCTTCTATGAGAAGACCCTTCAGTATTCTATGAGAAGACCCTCCGGTCTTCTATGAGAAGGTCCTCTGGTCTTCTATGAGAAGACCCTTTGCTCTTCTATGAGAAGACCCTTTTTTGGTCTTCTATGAGAAGACCCGTTGGTCTTCTATGAGAAGACCCGTTGGTCTTCTATGAGAAGACCCGTTGGTCTTCTATGAGAAGACCCGATGTTCTTCTATGAGAAGACCCGTTGGTCTTCTATGAGAAGACCCTTTGGTCCTCCGTGAGAAGACCCTTTGGTCTTCTATGGGAAGACCCGTTGGTCTTCTATGAGAAGACCCTTTTGTCCTCTGTGAGAAGACCATTTGCTCTTCTATGAGAAGACCCTTTTTTGGTCTTCTATGAGAAGACCCGTTGGTCTTCTATGAGAAGACCCGTTGGTCTTCTATGAGAAGACCCGTTGGTCTTCTATGAGAAGACCCTTCTTTGGTCTTCTATGGGAAGACCCCTTGGTCTTTTGTGAGGAGATCCTTTAGCCTCCCTATGGAAGACCCGTTGGTCTTCTATAAGAAGACCCTTTGGTCTTCTATGAGAAGACCCTTTGGTCTTCTATGAGGAGACCCTTTGTTCTCCTATGAGACTACCCTTTGATCTTGTCGTCCGCCAATCTGTCGTTATAACCATTCTCCCTATTTGTTTAATATTTATAATTGTACAGTTAGCTCAATGTGCTCACTCCTCACTCATTGCTTTTGTTAACTGCATCATCACCTTATCACAAATGTGTAAACTTCCTTCGATTCATGTTATTTATAAAATTTTTAATTTTTTCCAAAATTTCCCATTTATATTTCAATAATAATTTCCTATTATATATTTCCATTCACAGTTGTTGTGAATAGTTTAGGTCAAGTAGTTTGGACTCGAGCCCCGGGAACCATTTACAATTGAAATTTAGAGGATACTGTGCAATTATGAATTTTTTGTTTTAGAGAAAAGAAAAATTCGAACCCCTTTCGTAACCCCCCCCCCACCAACACTCACACATTATTTAAAAAAACACCTACACTCGAATACACAGAAAGAAAACTGACACTAATTTTAAGAATTTTAAAACATTAAATTTTTATCCAGTGATTTATTTGATTTTTTTGCAATATTTCCAATGATATTATAATTTTAGATTTAGATTTCTAAAAATAATTGTCCTTGTATTTTTTTCTGATTTTTTCAATATTTAAACACAATAAAATATTTTATAAAAATACTACATATTTACCATTTGTTTGTTTTATTTCCGGCTTCATTGATTTTCTTTTCCTCCTCCCCCAACCAGGTTATCCCTGCAGTTGTGTTGCCTATGGTTCTAATCCACAATTTCGAGATCCTTATTATTAATTATTATGTGTTCTTCTTTTTATTCTTGTATTGTATATGTTTGCATTTAATATTTCACAATAAATTTTGAATTTTTTGGCAATTTTTTTTTTATTTTAATTTGATTTGCTCACGGTGAGTTTATTAATTATTTTTTTTTAATAATGTATAAATAATTGTAAATATAAAAAATTCTGTCTGAATTTCTTATATACTAACACAAATACATTTAAAACTCAATTTAAATGGAGCACACTTTATCTTCTGGGCGAGTTTGTGTCGGAAAGCTGTAAATTTTGAAATGTTGCAAATAAAAAAGGCCGAGGAAAAATTGATCTAAAAACAAAAAAAAAAAAAAAAAAAAAAATTAAAAAAATAAAAAAAACTGTAAATTCGAACGGGTCGAACTTTTAAAACCCTCCACCATTTGATACAAATTTGGCAATTTCCAAAAAAAAAAAAAAAAAAAAAAAAAAAATAATAATAAAATAAAATCCGTTAAAAATTCTGTTAAAATCTTAAAAATATCGAATGCCTATACGACGACGTAGACCTGCATAGGCAACTTTTGTCATAAGTTATTACAATATTTAAATGCGAAACTTGAAGAAAAATCTGTTTATAATGTAGCTAAAATCATCAACATACCGAATATAGGGGGTACCGTTATATGGGGGCTATACAAAGGCGTGGATCTGCACAGACAATTTTCTGGCATGGGCTGAAGTATCCATTACGAACATCAAATACCAAATTTTAAAGAATTCCGGTGAATATTGTCGCAAAAATCATCAAAATACCGAATATCCGGAGGTACCCTTATATGGGGGCTATACCAAAATGTGGACCTACATGGTCCATTTTCAATACCTAAAGTCCTGCAGACATAGTATACATTTGAGTAAAATTTTATCAATCTACGTCAATTCGTTCGGAAGCTAGAATGATTTCCACAGACGGATAGACGACAGACAGTCGGACATCGTTAAATCGACTTAGAATTTTATGCTGATTATGAATATATATATATACCTTATGGGGTCTACGACGAATATTTAAGGATGTTACAAACGGAATGACAAAGTTAATATACCCTCCTTTCCAAGGTGGAGGGTATAATTAGTAGTCAGTGACCGGTAGTTAAATTTCGTAGACCTGGCTAAAGTTCTCGGTTTGGCGTTGGAGACTTGGAAAAGTACTCCCAGGATCATGAGCTTCAGATCGATAACTGAGTAATTACTCCTGGGCGGCAGAAGTGCTGGGGACCTAGTATGTGGAGTTCGTTGGAGAGTAAAAATATGTGGGTTAGAATTCAAGTTTGGGGACAAGGGCTTACGGCTCAGTGGGTTAGACGCGGGGGAGACCTTAGATCTGCGTACACCAATGAGGTCCAAGTAAGGATACTCACAATTGAATACCAAGGGCTACGAACACCATAGAGGTTCTATTGGGACAACATCACTCTGAGTTACTTAGATATTTACGATCTAACTTCACTTGTTGATGCCTGCGGGCTACTTCTCTGACTTATGCCTTGTTTAATGACCTCCGGCCTTTTAAAGGAAAAATCATGCCAATGGTGTACATATTCCGTGATACCTATTCCGAGGTACCTGTAAAATTAGCGAAGACACTATATACCCAAAATACATGGATTCCAAGGAATCTTAACTCAAATGGAGGGCTCCTAAACAACAATATGTTTGGAAATTCGTAGAAAGAAGTAAAAAAAGCAGCTTAGTTCGGCCGGGCCGCAATTTTTATACCCTCCACCATTTGGAAGGAACTTGAAAAACTTAAAAAAAAAATCCTTCCACCTTGACTATACAAATACGTAGTCCCGTCATAGTACGTGTAGTAACGATTTCGAACTTTAAATATGAAATTCGAAACAATTCCGGTGAATAATGTCGCTAATATCATTAAAATTCCGAATAAAGGGAGGTGCCGTTGTATGGGGGCAATACTAAGACGTGGACGTGCACAGACAATTTTCCGTCATAGATTTCAGTATCTATTACAAACTTCAAATACAAAATTTGAAGTAATTTCGTTGAATAATGTCGAGAAAATCCTGGAAATAACGAATGTCTCGGGGTAGCGTTATATGGGTGCTATACTATAGCGTAGACCTATATAGACAATTCCCTTTCAGGGGGTAACGTATTCAGAGGGAACTCCTTGTGTGGATTTTCAGACTATTGCATTGAAAAAAAAAAAGGATATATTGAGATGTACTAAGTCTGAATGGAATCGGATGTTAAGTGCGCGATTTACGAGCTTCATGTTTCTTCATATTTTAAAATTTTGACCCTTTTTGGGGGAGGTACAAGAAGGAGTGGACCGATATATACCATCTTCGTTGCAGATTTTGTGTTAGTTGAATTAATGGGATGTATGAAGTATGAAGACAACCGGATGCTCATTTTGGATTGTATAATCGCTTTGGTTATTCAAAACGTTTACCATTTATAGGGAAGGTACCAGAAGGAATGGTCCGATCCCCATCATCTTTACAACAGATCTTGTGTTGATAGAAATAGTTAGATATGCCAAATCTGAATAGATTCGGATTTAATTTCACGTTTTATGAGTTTCATGGATATTCAAAATTTTGATATATTGTGAGGAGGCACCAGAAGAGGTGGTCCGATATTGCTCATTTCCGAACTCGATTTGTGTTTGACAAAAATATTACGATGTACCAAGTTTAGACCAAATCGGATGCTCCATTCAAGAGTTATCGTGCGCATCAGCCAGACAGACAGAGAGATGGAAGGACATCGCTATATCGACTCCGTATGTCCTGAAACGGATTTGGTCCAATGAGACCTAGTTTCTAAAACCGTAATTTCGTTGTGGATATATTCGGGGACACCTGTCCAGGTCTTCCTACACAGACTGGGATTCGGATTCGAGTTTTGCAGCACTCGGTGGATATTTTTGGGGGCCGATGTCAAGGACTTCGTAGATGAATGGGGATCGATCGTGTGCGGCAGCCGATTTGGGTCCTCTACAATGGCTAGGAATGTATTCCATCTAGCACTACGGTCTATGGCTACATCTTTTCCAATACCAATGCTTGGGCTATGCTACGGAATAGCGAGTCGAAGCTTCTGCGGAACAGCGAGTTGAAGGTTTTGCGGAACAGCGACCCGAAGCATATTCTCTATTGTTGATCCAGACTTATGTCTTATATGTATCTGACCATTTAAACTGAAGCTCGTTGAAAAAAAAATTCTTTAAAAAATAGACGTTTCTTGAACTGGTGATCCTTGAAAAAATATTCTTTGAAGAATCCACGTTTCTTGAACTGAAGGTTCTTGAAAAAATATTCTACCCACGTTTCATGAACTGAAATTCGTTGAAATACTTTTTGAAAAATCCACGTTTCTTGAACTGAAGGTCCTTGAAAAAATATTCTTTGAAAAATCCACGTTTCTTGAACTGAAGGTCCTTGAAAAAATATTCTTTGAAAAATCCACGTTTCTTGAACTGAAGGTCCTTGAAAAAATATTCTTTAAAAATCCACGTTTCTTGAACTGAAGGTCCTTGAAAAAATATTCTTTAAAAATCCACGTTTCTTGAACTGAAGGTCCTTGAAAAAATATTCTTTAAAAATCCACGTTTCTTGAACTGAAGGTCCTTGAAAAAATATTCTTTAAAAATCCACGTTTCTTGAACTGAAGGTCCTTGAAAAAATATTCTTTGAAAAATCTACGTTTCTTGAACTGAAGGTCCTTGAAAAAATATTCTATAAAAATCCACGTTTCTTGAACTGAAGGTCCTTGAAAAAATATTCTTTAAAAATCCACGTTTCTTGAACTGAAGGTCCTTGAAAAAATATTCTTTAAAAATCCACGTTTCTTGAACTGAAGGTCCTTGAAAAAATATTCTTTGAAAAATCTACGTTTCTTGAACTGAAGGTCCTTGAAAAAATATTCTATAAAAATCCACGTTTCTTGAACTGAAGGTCCTTGAAAAAATATTCTTTAAAAATCCACGTTTCTTGAACTGAAGGTCCTTGAAAAAATATTCTTTAAAAATCCACGTTTCTTGAACTGAAGGTCCTTGAAAAAATATTCTTTAAAAATCCACGTTTCTTGAACTGAAGGTCCTTGAAAAAATATTCTTTAAAAATCCACGTTTCTTGAACTGAAGGTCCTTGAAAAAATATTCTTTAAAAATCCACGTTTCTTGAACTGAAGGTCCTTGAAAAAATATTCTTTAAAAATCCACGTTTCTTGAACTGAAGGTCCTTGAAAAAATATTCTTTAAAAATCCACGTTTCTTGAACTGAAGGTCCTTGAAAAAATATTCTTTAAAAATCCACGTTTCTTGAACTGGAGGTCCTTGAAAAAATATTCTATAAAAATCCACGTTTCTTGAACTGAAGGTCCTTGAAAAAATATTCTTTAAAAATCCACGTTTCTTGAACTGAAGGTCCTTGAAAAAATATTCTTTAAAAATCCACGTTTCTTGAACTGAAGGTCCTTGAAAAAATATTCTTTAAAAATCCACGTTTCTTGAACTGAAGGTCCTTGAAAAATATTCTTTAAAAATCCACGTTTCTTGAACTGAAGGTCCTTGAAAAAATATTCTTTAAAAATCCACGTTTCTTGAACTGAAGGTCCTTGAAAAAATATTCTTTAAAAATCCACGTTTCTTGAACTGAAGGTCCTTGAAAAAATATTCTTTAAAAATCCACGTTC